ATGTTGTTGTGCAGGCGGCGCATTCCTACCACGAGAAGTTTAAGTGAGACTTGAGTTTTATTAGACACAGTTCCTTCAGGGCCGTTGGTTGCTCTGTGATGTTGTCATTTACATACGATACTTTGTCTGCGGATAGCCCTTGCGGTAATTATTAACGAAATATAACACTCTGTCGTACTCTAACTGATATGTATTGGACAAAGTAGATCAACTGACCTTATTTTACATCCAGTTATTAGGATGTTTAGGGCGATCCGGTCTCTGGTCACCTGTCAGTAAAAGCCCGCCACAAATGTCAGTTGTCAGTTAGATTTTCAGCGATTTGTCAGTTGTCAGTTGACCCCATCCAGACCCTCATTTAACCTCAACATAGAGCACATACCTTAGTTTCCGCAATAGATTACACTGAAAGATCATTTCAATTTTTCTTTTTTTCCGGCAAAGATTTTTTGGTGGGCGTGACGCTGGGTGTCAAGTCTTTACAGCGGAATACAATTATTATATCTTTTAATACAGTGTGGAGGTGTTTAAGGTAAAGAGTTCACTTTCGCGAGAGAATGGCGCAGAAGAAAGGTTTCACAAGGTCTAGTTTTTAAAGCTTGGTTAAGGAGTGGAAAGTCATGGTCGCTGAGTTTACCTGTCACAAAAAATTGGGTAGGGTATTTGAACACAATTTTGGCCCCGGGGGGCGGGAATTTGAATAAACCAATCTTCAAAAGTTCATATTCAAAGGGGCTTCCCAGAGCACAGGTGGCCCTAGCCACAGCTGTGAGATAATCATCTTGCCAAATAATCAAATAAGAGTCATGACGAAATTATTAGAGTTTGTATGGGAATATTTACCACCGCTCTTAGGAATAAAGAAAAAAGCGAAAAATCCAAGCTCAAAATGACCTGGTGGCCACAAATCCAACGCAGAATCGAAGCACATATGCTGTAGTTTCATTTCAATTTACTGCAAACTCAATCTTCCTCGCGAAACCGACGCTAAGCCGCAGTTTGCTTACAAAAATTTCTAGTTTAGACGTTCCTAAAGGATTGCGTACAACACTGCGGTCAAACACGCGCATGCACGAGATTTTGAAACCATGCCTTTAACAGTGTCGTTTATCAGAGAGACTGGGTTCGATATAGCCTGGGGGTTTCTTTACATTCATGGCAACAACATCTGGATTTTGTGCTGAGAAATGCCTGGATGCTATGGATCTTGCAGAGATGTGCACGATACGTACGAATCTTCTGGGCAATAACTCATTGCAAAAAAGGCAAATCGTGCTTGATTGGCTATGAATGCATGCCAAACCAAATGAAAGGTACAGTTCATTTTATGATGTCCTATAGTGGCGCCGATCGACTAACTATTAGCCACATCGATTAAGTCAGGGGACAACAAACACATCAATTTCCTGGTCACATCTAGATACTCAGGGGGTTCTTCTTGTAGATTGTCTAAATCATAAATCAGATTGAATTAAAGAAAACGTTTTCTTAGCCATTCCATGATAAGGTTTCAGCCAGGATTCCTCAGGCAGACCTTCCAACCTTATCAAATGAAAATCTGGAGTTTTTGAAAAAAAGCCTAGGAAAACCTGGAGATTAGGACCTCAAACCTGGAGATATGCATCAAATAAAAACAACAACAACAGATTATTTGTTTCAGATTATTCTTTGTTTTGTTAGTGCTCTTTGTTGTACTCTTTTGCTGTTTTTTTTTTGCAGAGCTGAGAAGATTCTCATTGGGGTTGAACTTAAAACAAAATGAGGTGTCCTCTGGGTTCTGTATTTTTATTTCCAGTTAATTCTCGAGAGTCCCCTCCAGTTTAAGGGAGGAACAGCTATCTGCTTTGTTCTCAGGAACCATGCTGTGTGGCAAAACCAGCTCTGCCACCTTCTGAAGATGGCATAATCTTCTAGCTGATGATTCAGGAATTACCATTTTTGATACGTACCACCACAGAAGGTCTACCCAGTAATGGAAAATTTTCTGATCATTTACTAATCCATCAACAACCTAGGCTTCCTTCCAAGCTATCAGACTAATGTCTTCATCTGCTAGAGACTGATAATTGTAAAATTTGTCATACATGTCATTGATGTTCACAGTGTTTAAGACTGACTGGAGCCTGGATAGAAAGTACTCTACACTCTCCCATTTTGCCTGGCTACATTTTTGAACATTAGCCCATCTTGTATTTTTAACTGGAATGAGGCTGGTATTTTACTCAAGTTTCCCTCACAAATTAGTTCTGATCAATTCAGGTATGAGCACAGATTTTTCGCTATTCCTTCTTACCTTTCAGAATTGTTTGGCAATTTCAAGGTTTTTTAATTCATTGTGAGATTTAGAGGCAAAGCTGTGAGACTGTGAGTTGGCATCCCAAAGCGAGAGTCTCATGGTCAAACTGTGAGAGTTGGAAGGTATGCCTCATGTTTGTTTTCTATTTACCTTCAAGCATCCCTTTTTATCTAAGTGGATACAAAGTATGCATTACAATATATTGCATGGTTCTTGGACTTAGCACAGCAGCTTTAAATGAAACTTTTCTAAATTTTCACGCTGGTGTCAAAGCTTTGCAAACATCAACATGCAAGAAGCTAGAACCTCACACACAAGATGCTGATGGCTGAAACTTGGATGGAAGCATTCTTCAAAAGGGTATTGACTGTAATGATTGACTTTAAGCTTTATTTCAATTTTTTCTCCACTGAACCACAATATTTATACAGACCTGACAAATGTGGCTAATCTTATGTGTCTTCCCCCCCCCACTCCTTATAAAACAATAGAATATGATAAAAAGGCTTGAATTTCATTTGGCATGACTAGATGTGAGCCTTCAATGCTAACTTGTTTAAGTATACCTCACAATATTAAATGCACTGGTTCTTATGAACTCCTATACTTAACCATAGTTTTAACATAAAGCACAGTAAGCTAAACTTATTTGTTTGTTTACTCTAAATCTTACTCATTTAACACAGATTGGTGATAAGATGTGTGATACTGGTGCATTGCATCTTCCAAGCTTTCTGGACAAAACCATCATGTATGGATATTTGAAAGCAGAGTGGAAAGATGAGGATGAAAATGTCATTCATTACCGTAACAGTACATTTAGCTATCTTTTGAGGAATGTGTTTTCTTTTGTTAAAATACCCAAGGTGATGTGAAACTTAAGTATTATTTTTGGATGCTTATGCATGACTGATCTATGAAGATGTCGAGAAGAAGGATTTATGTTAAATCCCTGGATCGGATGGAATTTCCCTGCCTCTTCAGATTTCTGAATGAGGACTTAAAATCTATTTTCTCTGCTTTGATTACTTTAACCTGAAGCTGCAAAACATATGCACTACAGCAAAGCAATATCTCAAAAATGGTTAGATGATTGTCTTCCACAAGAAGTATTAGTGTTCAGCATAAATAGAGAGTTTTTTACTGCAGGTAAACCAATTTACAAGATGTGACTGCTGCATGGCATTGGGTGAGGAGAAGAGAAAAGCTCAGGATGAGGATGTGCAAAAATGCTTACACAAGCTTTTGATTTCCATAATGATCTTCAAATATAAGTACTAATTTCTTTTAAGACACATAACTTTGATGTCTGCTTCCTGATATATCTGTCATGTGATATATGTTTTTATAGGAAAGAGAGAAAAGTGTATTACCATCAAAAAGACAAATCTAAGAAGTATTCACAATAATATGCATGTATTGCACAAGATGGCATGGATCAGGCAAAGCGTTTCCTTCTACGATTAGTAGTTATTGTGTGTGCATATGCTTGTGCAAGAAAACTGCAAAACTCATATGACTGGTGTGTTAAACCATGGAGGTAGCCTAAAGGCTATTTTGATGTATTCCAATTTCCCCATGATGCAAACTTCACCATAAATATGTTACTTCTGGAATTACAAAGCATGGGAGAGGACCTGACAGATACCTTTTGCCTACAAATGGACAAATGCTGGAGGGAGAATAAAAATCAATTTGTGCTAAACTTTTTAGCTCTTCTTGCAAAGCTTGACATTTTGTTGAGGTATGTTGTACTTCTCATAAGAAAATGAAATTTTAAAAATGGTACATGTGAATGAACAGTTAGTTAAATATTTAAACATAAATATGTAACAATTTTACTGTACTTTGAAGTGGGGATTGCCCCAATCATGTATGAGCAATGAAATTCCTTCAAATTCAATTTTCATCTTTGCAGGTGAAACTGAATTTCTCAATGGTTGGACACACTCATGAAGCTGTTAACCAGATGTTTAACAAGTAAGAATCAGAGTTTCGTTTCTATTATATTAAGTTGAGAAGAAAACTCTCATTAAGAATAGTTAAATGGCAGAACTATCTCATTAATGCTGCTGAAACACTCAGCTATAGTTGCACTGCTAGGATGACACTTTGTTGTCAGCTTCAAAGTTCTAATTTTACACCTATGGTTTTTTTTACTTCATATTCATATTTAATTGTCTCACAGGCTTTCTGAATTTCTGGCAAAGAAGGACACAAGAACCTTCAAAGGTACTGTTATGATGACTGCAATCAACTTTTAGCTTGGAAAAAAATTGCTATGAATTTCTCTTTAAAATTTGACCATCTGTCATTTGACCTTAATATTACAGTTGGATTGATGTGCATAATTAGTATGATCATAGTTGTGTTTTAACCCTTTAATTGATCAATGTGTATCCTCTCCTGACAATATGGATTGATCCATTATCTAAAATTTTTTCTCTCCTTATTTTATAGTGCTCATGACATCCTTTGAGAGATGTTACACCCCATCTCCAAAGGCTGTAGAGGTTGAGCATGTGTTTGCTCTTAAGGAGTGGATGTCATCCTTTTCAACCATGTTTCACAACATTTCAAACCCTCATGCATTTAAATTTACAAAAGCTCCATCTGGAAAAGTTGTCATACAGTACAAGAATTGGGGAAGTGATAAACAGGAAAACCGGAAACCCTTTAGCCCTGATCCAGAGCAGTGGTTAACCATAGTGGGAGTAAGTGGAATCTGCCGTGCAATGAAGAATGATTAAAAAACAAAAAAATCCAAAAAATACTTTTAATTGATAACTATACTCTTTTCATAGATATCTGTTTTGCTCAGTTGTTGTGCATTGATCTTGCATTTTGTAACTGGCATTACACAAGGCATATTAATAATTAAAAATAATGGTATGTAAAAAAGTCACAAACTAAGCACTGTTACTGCTTAATTATTGTAAGTTACTGCAGCTAGTTTATGCATGGTCTATAGTCATGTCATTCTGTATTGTCTGATTCATGTCCTTTAAATTCCAAATTTCTAGAAGGAGTCTTTGTGCTACAGTTTGTTAAGTCTGCTTCTCAT